TCTCCCCGGATGATCGTCTCGAGCCTTCTCAACAATGGCAGCAACAGTAGAGGTGGGGGCAATGAGAATAGCGAACACAGCAAAAAGGGTCGGCCGTTGGGGCCGGACGGGGCCGGGCGTGGCCGCCGCCGGGAGAAGGGGGAAAAGTAGGGCGCAAGGAAGGTGGGAGGCGGGAGTGCCTCCCTGTAATGATAACTAGGTGGTGGTAAGCGGGGCGCGAAAACGAGCAGGGGAGGTGTGGGGTGGAGGGCGTGGGTGAGGGATGGGAAGAGGAGGAGGCGGCGGACAAGGTGGGAGGAGCGAGGAATTTGAAGGTGGATACGGTATGTCGGATGCCAGACCGTAGCGGCCAGGCGGAGACGGCAGGCACGAAATAAAGTAAAAAGGACCCGGCGGGCCCCATGGTCACGTCGATTTCGTTTATGTTTTTCTGGACATTACTTTGATCGAGACAAGGGCCGCGCGCCACCCGACCACGCTCATGCCGTAGCCCCTCCCCGCCCAACCTCCAAGTTCAGTCAGGGCCTCTCCGTCCCCCCCTCCCAAGCCCTCTCCCTATCTACGCACTCACAACTTGCTCTCCAGCAGGTCAAGCAGCTCAGCCCATATCAGGATGCATCGATACATGGCCGACAGGCACACGGCGATCAGGAGAAACTGCCAGTTGCTGACGATCGCCCGCGGTAAGGGGAGGTAGGCCATGATGCGACTCGCTACCGAGACCGCCCGAACCACCAGGCCCTCCGAGCCGCCCGCCTGCGCATGGGCCAGGCGGACGACGGCCAAGACCAGGAAGAGGTGGTTCCCCCCCGTCGCGAACGTGATGAGCGCGGGGCACCGGCCCAGATGCTGCCGAAGCCACTTCCGATACGGGCCCGTCTGGACCGACACCTCCTCCTCTCCTGCCGGCGCCGGACCCTGCCTCCAGTACGGCGCCACCGCATCCGCTGCCGCCAGGCGCGTTGAACCCTCCACCAGCACCTCGAACCAGAAGGCCAGGACCTCGATCAGGAGCATGCCCAACCCCAGGCGGACCCGGTGCACGGGGTTGGGCCCATACAGGGGGCCCCCCGTCTCGACCAGGCCCGTCATCAGGACCGCCAGCAGGCTCGCGGAATCCAACCGGTCCGCCACCAGGGCGAAGACACGCTGGCGGCTGCGGGGCAGACGCACGGGGTCCAGGTACCGCGCGGCCATGTCCAGCGCGAAGCCCCCGACCTCCAGGAGGACGTAGGAGTGAAGGTCGTTCAGGAGCACGAAGATGAAGGCCAGCACCATAAGGGCCAATCGAGAGCCTTGGAGCCAGGTCACCACACTCTTCGCGTACTTCAACTGAAGCACTTCAAGACGATACAAATACAACCGCTTGATTTCCTCTCGCCTTTCTGCCTTCCCCGTTCCCCGCTTCTCCCGCTCGCCCTCCTCTTCTTCGTCATCTCCATTTACCGTCACTTCTAGGGCTGCGATCTCCATTCCATTCTGATCGATGAGTGTGACTCTGTCTCCTTCTTGATTCAATACCTCGCGACGCCGAGGTCTGCCCTCCCGCGTCGTCCACAGCAGTATCTGCAGTTCCCCCGGCCGTTCTTCTTCCTCCACGCCGTACTTGCCTGGTGCGCAGTACACGTGCAACTCTGCACCCGGGGCAAGAGTGTAGCCTTCCTCAAATTCATACCTGTGATGTTGTCCTTTGTCGCACAAAGAATGCCCCGACAAGTCGACCGGGACGGACTCAGGGTTGGAGATGGTTATTATCTCCCGCTTTACGTCCACGTCGCTGATGTATGGAGGCGACCTGTACAATATGGAGCGCCGTCGGGGATTTTGGCAACGCGCTGAGGTACCATCTTGATCACACTCGTCTAACCAAGGGATTTCAATGAGCCTCCTCATTATGTGGTGTGACTTTCCTGCAAGACGGCCGACCTGGAGAGGAGATCACGCCCCACTGGAAGCGTATGCATTCAAGAGTGAGAGGAGTCGGAAGAAACTGCGGACGTTCAAAGTCGTGAACAATTGTAGAAGCCCATTATCAAAACGGGATAAAAGAAAGCGGGAAGATCTCAATGGCCATGACAGGGCTGGCATTGCATGGATAAACGTGTCCTGCCGCACTGCTCTCGCTAAGACGCCGCAAGCGAAGGAGATAGGAGGCGGCCCATGTCCGTGAAGGCGCTTTCATCGGTCCCCGGTCATTTAAGGCACATGGGCATCAAAGCCTTCGCGCAATGCATGAGCGCGTGATTGACCCTATTCTTTGTATGACTGCCATGTAGCATTCATGGAGCTCGCAATGTTGTACAGAGTTATATTTTAGCATCAAGCAATTCTTTTAACCTCCTGCTCCCCACTCGACGTCCGACTCCAAGAATGGCAAGTACTATCTGCTCACCCCCGGCGCAAGCACGATCTCATCTTCACCGTCTTCATCTTCCTCGTTCAATGGTGCACAAGATTCCGATTCCCGTACACTATTGCCTTCATCTAGCATGGCGCTGGCGTCAGAAACGAGACGAGTAGCGGCACGGGCGCCTTGGAAGGCCTCAAAGGGTCGAGCACTGACAAAATCGGGAACAGACACCTCACTATCAAGAAGAGCCTGCAAATAAAGACGAATATTCCCTAAAGGACCGAGGGCATCGTCTGAGGCATGGGCATCAGGATCGTCCCAGGCCGGGGGGTGGATGGCCGTGTGGGGGGGGTTGAGGGAGGCCTTGTAGCGCGAGTCGTCGATCATAAGGGTGTTGCTGGGGCCTGCAAATGTAAAGAGAAGAGGAAGCGTCAGCCTGCAAGCATCATTTGTTGAAAATAGCTCTACCATTGTTTTCTCGTGACCATGGGTAGAGACACGGACTCACCGAACAGTCCGGCAACGTCCTTGCTTTCCCATAAGCGCCGCAACTCCTTGAAAGCAATTGGTTTCCCGGGCTTTGCCGGATCAGTCTCACCGTTGTATGTGCACCTGAGGGGTTAGACAACCCGGCGTAAATGGGCAAGTCATACAGATGCGAAAGGCACTTGAAAGCACCCTTACTTACCTTTTGCCGTCCCAAATGAAAGCCAATCGGGCCACATCCTCCTGTGTTCATACCGGATAAGACCAGAGATTAAATCTTGCGCTTTATTGAGGTCCAAGCACTTTTCTTATACCTACCTCGGGCAGGAGACCCTTCAACAGCGGTGTTGCATTGATTGCCGACGCCGTAGTCCACACCCCTACGAAAAAGTTATCCAAGCAGAATCTGTGCGTAGTGTATATATGGACGATGATCTTAAAATGCAATACCCATTGTGTGGAATCCCTCTTAAAAGGCAGTGCCGTAATTCTGTCCCATGTGGACGTTACCTGAGAAAGTCTTTCACGTAAGGGCGCTTGTAAACCAAACAGCTATTGAGGCACCATGTTGTCGTAACTCTTGGTAGAGCGCCTTCTGCATCTGTAAGCGTACATCGAGGCGTTATCTTCGCATCGACCGAAGCTCCTCCTCTCTTGCTGCCATCCTTCTCACCTGCCCTAGGGCCCTCCCCAACGAAGACTCGGTGCACGAGCAGTCCATTCAGGTCGAGAATTAGAAGCTTCGGTCTTCTTCGATAAGTGGGAACTAGGGAACGTAGACGCTGGGATAGATAATATCATTCGTACGTGTGTGTCAAATGAAATCGCGGTGCAAAACTTCGAAAAAGCAAGAAACTACGTACCTCTACTTCTAGCTTTAGCAGCGCTATTTCTATGTTTTCTCTCTGACCTCCTCCCCTTCTATCCCTGCCGCTGTCGTGTGACATGATACTTTAACAAATTTAAAGGTATGTATGAGTTGTGATTTTCTGTGATGGTGGCACCGTACTCTGAATGCAGTCTGTCTAGGCGCAAGCAGGAGGTTACGAGACTCGACCATGAGGGAGAGAGAGACTTGTACCCCCCCATAATAACGCTTCCTAAACTCACTGATATGTCATGACAAGCCGTGTATTTTACAATATAAGCCACATTCCTGTATGACATTGCTTACGGCCACGCTGCCAGACCTTTGACAGGGTCGCAGCAGAATGGCTGCGAGTGCGAGTAGCTTCGACCTGGAAAGAGAGCTTGCGCGTCTTTCCCTCGACACAAACGTCTACAGAGGCTATATTGAGGGAATGATGGATGATGAGGACACTGGAGACCTGGAAGAGCGAGTAGAGGCTGTGCTTGCGTTTTTAGGCGGCGCGACGGATGAGGACCTAAGTGGGTTTGCGATTGACTTGAAAACCCACCATCAACTAAAACACGCGGCGGAGGCGGCCAGGGAGACTAGCTTGATAGACGCAGATAAGGCAAAGGAAAGGCGGCGTTATGAAGAAAGACTTGAGCAAGACAAGAAAGCGGCGAAGACAGAGCAAGACAGACAAGCCGCGGAGCTTAAGTCTCGAACGGAAGGAGATCGTGCGACGATGCGGGGGCGAGAAGCTATTTTGAATAAATACGCGTTTGGAGACGACGTTGTGGACGAAGATGGAAACCCGGTGGGTAAACCAAGGGGAGGAAAAGATGATAAGTCGGGTGCCGGCGAGGCGGATGTTGTTTTGGGTGCTTTACTAGGAGCCAATTCAAACAAAGCTCAAGTGGAGGCCGCCGCGAAGGCAATGAGGGAGAAGTCCAAGGCGGAGCACGAGAAGAAGGTGTTGAGAGAGAAGGTAAGCACCCATCTGCATCGATGGAATTATGGACGAGTAGCTCACTTTCTGTCACTGAAAGTCGATTCAAGGACCGCGAATCCTCTGTTTTCCCAGGCGTGCGTGAGGTACACTGCCTTTCACTATCTACGCTTCATCATTCCTATTATTTTGCCTACCTAGGAACTCCTGCTGAGAGACAAGATGCGGAAGGAAAGTGAAAAGCGGCGAACCATGAAGAGGGAGAAACAAAGAGGATGTGGATAAAGACATGGAAAAATAAGCAGGGTGAATTTGTGAAAGCGCTTCCATGGATTTTTCTTTTTTTACGGGTGCATTATCAGGCTGCCTATACTTCCCTGAAGCTCCTCTTCCGATATACAACTCTCCCCGGATGATCGTCTCGGTATCAGTCAACCGCTGGGCGCCTGATGAGAGACCCTCCGCTCCATCTGTTGTCAACAACCCGCTGCTGCATACATTTCCACACCACCTCCCGTACCAACAAATTTACATCATTTCAAGCTGCCCCGTTCCCTTGCACACAGACCTGAGACCGAATGACGTCTCACCACCTGAGAAGCATCATGCAAAGGCCACAGGACAAAATCTGCGCCTCAGCACCTCACCGGAATCCAGCGCTTCGCTACCTTGCACTGAGATGGAGCAGGCCGGCAACAGTGCAATACTTCAAACTCACGCTTACGCATGTACAATGATTACTCCTGTCCACATGTGTAGACGCACCTCCACCGCCCTTTTCCGACTCCCACCGCATCGTCTCCGCCGGTAAGCCCCCCGTTTCTACCCCTCCAAGCGCAAGAGAGCCATGATGTTGGGAAGGGCCTTTGGGTAAGATAAATGTCCGGGCACCAGCTCACTCAAGTCCAGATTCTC